GGCACAATTCGGACTGGCCCAGACCGAACCGTCAAGAGTTCACACGGGGCGTGGAAGTTCTGAGAGTGGCGTCCTGGCACCCTGCAGGATTTCAACACGATGGTCCCCCAAACGTGGAAATTCCATCAATGGAAATGCACACTTGTACGTTAGGTTCGTGTCGTGCCGACTTCGGCGTTGGTTTCTGACACCACGGAGATCGTTCAATTTTGAACGATCGGCCGTCCCAGAAACACCAGATCGTTCCACATCGACCGATTCTGGGTCGCCAGCGGCGTTCAACATTGAACGCCAACGGCGGGGTCGCCGCCGGTCGACACGACACGAACCTACCGCAGGGGCCTATGAAGAGGGAGCTTGGAGGGAGGGTGTATTCCACCATCGTTGGTGATTCTTGGTTTTGCACTGGTCCTCCTCCTAATCCTCCCCATCCTCCTCCTCCTCCTCGCACTCCTCCTCCTCCTCCTCCTCCTGGTCCTCCTCCCCTGGATCGCAGGGCGCTGGCGGGAAACTGGCCGGCGTCGCTATGACTGTAATCCTGTAATCCTCCTGGTCCTCCTCTTCCGCCTTCACCTCCTGTTCCTCCTCCTCCTCCACCTCCTCCTCCTCCTCCTCTTCTACCTCCGCTTCCTTATCATCCCCCTCTTGGGTCTCCAGTACCTCCTTCCCGTCGTCCTCAGCTTCCCATTCCTCCTTCCCACCCCAAGAACGATCATTAGCATCATCATCATCAGCATCATCACCATCATCATCATCACCATCATAACCAGCAGCTGCATCATCATCAACATCGTCGTCATCACCATCATCATCAGCATCATAATGATCGCCATCATCATCATCACCATCCACCACTATCACAATCATCTCCATCATTTGTCATCCTCATCACCAACGTCAACTACGACCGTCAGCATCATCAGCATCATCAGCATCGTAATAACCGTCATCATCAACATCATCATCAGCATCATCATTATCACCATTGTCAATGACGACGAAACAAATAAGATCATCATCACCATCACCACCCTCCTCCTCCTGCTCTCTTCCATCTCCTCCTCCTCCTTCTCCTCATCCTCCCCCCATCATCATCACCACTATCATAACCATCATCGATCCTCATTGACAGAATAAGAATAATAATCATCAGCATCACCATCAACAGCATCAGCATCATCATCATCATCATCATCAGCATCAGTATCATCAGTATCAGCATCAGCACCATCGGCTTCACTACAAACCTTCTCCTACCCCGCCTCCGTCTGTCCTCCACCTCCCCCTTCTCTGTATCACATAACAAGCTTAAGTATCACGTCCACCATCACCATCAGCAGAGCAGAAGCATCATCACCATCATCATCACCATCAACTTCACCGTCATCATCATCAGCATCAGCAGCAGCATCATCAGCATCATCATCAGCATCACCATCATCATAAACATCATCATCAACAGCGGCAGCGTCAGCATCATCATCACACTCATACATCCTCCTTATCCCCCTCATCGGGATCCTCCGCTTCATCCTCCCCCTCCTCCTCATCATCAGCACCACCACCGCCATACTCCTCCTCATCCTCCCACCTATCCCTAAGTACAGCATCAGCATCATCATCATCATCAGCATCATCATCATCACCATCATCATTGCATTCGCCAAACAACAGCATAATGATCAGCATTCCTCATCGTCATCATCACCATCATCACCATTATCAGCAGCATCATCACCAGCATCATCAGCATCAGCATCACCATCAGCAGTAGCATCAGCATCAGCAGCATCATCCTCAGTATCATCATCATTATCATCAGCATCATCATCAGCAGCATCAACTACTCATCGTCATCCTGCTCCTCCTTCTCACTAGCAGCAGCAATATGATCATCATCCTCGTCATAATCAGCATGATCATCATCATGATCACCAGCACCGTCATCAGCATCGTCATCATCAGCATCACGAGCATCATCATCATCATCATCATCATCATCATCATCATCATCAGCAGCATCATCACGTCCTGGGCAATCGCAAAACTGCGGCAAGCGTAAACCCACTAGTGGCTACGAAATGCCCTGCCCCGTCAAAGACGTTCCAGAGCACCCAGGAAATCTTAGACCATGCCCAGCACAGAGCTCGCAAGCGCCGAGATGCGAATCTCACGCTCTGAGTTCTCGTTCCCTTCCTTCTGGCCCTGCCGCGCAACTTCGGTCTATGGTGTATTAGGTCTGTGTGCCTGTCTTTGTCTGTTTGGCTGACTGTCAACATCATCGCTCCCTCAAAGAGCCACTCCCAGACATCTCCAGGTGGTGCGCTGCGACCAGAAAATCCAGGCCGACCCCGCCGTGGCGACGAGGAGGCCCCAGAAGACCCCAAAACGCGAAGGCAGGAGGGCGTCAAATCTCGTCGGTCGTCGTCGTCCGTCGTCGTTGCCCGTCGCCATCGGTCGTCGTCGTCGGTCGTCGTCCGTCTTCGCTGTTCGTCCGTCGCCCGTCGTCGTCGTCCGCCGTCGTCGTCGCCGTCGCCGTTGCCCGTCACCAACAGTCGTCGTCGTCGTCGGTTGTCGTCCGTCCCGGTTGTTCGCCAGTCGCCCGTCGACGTCGTCGTCGTCGTCGCCGTTGTCGTCGTCCGCCGCCATCGTCGCCGTCGTCGTCGCCCGTCGGTCGTCTTGAGCACCCGAGTTATTCGGGATAGACCTGATCCGAGGAAGGCCCGATTTGGGGTCCCCAAATGCGATCCAAGAAAATCCTGGAATGGCTTGGTTTTTGGTAACTCCTGCTGACGGGAGAGTACTGGACATCATCTACACGGAGCAAGACGTGAGCCGAGAAAACACGGCATGAATGCAATCCACGGCAACTCTGGCACAAGAACGGGAGGTCCGAATCAGGAGTATCACTGACCACCCCGTGCCCTGATAACGCGGGGCTCTCATCATCCGTCGCCCGCCGCCCGACCGTCCACCGTCGCCCGCCGCCCGCCACCCCCCATGGAGGCCGAAGCATCCAGCAGGGCGCCCAGCGCCAAGGCGGCGGCACCGTCATCATCATCACCAGCGTCAGCATTACAACCACCACCACCACCATCATCACCAACACCGACATCACCACTGGCATCATCATAATGGCATCATCAGCAGCATCATCACCATCATCATCATAATCATCATCATCATCATCATCAGCATCATCAGCATCGTCATCATCAGCATGATCATCATCATCACCACCACCATCAGCAGCAGCATCATCATCAGTATGAGCATCAGCATCATCATCATCATCATCATCATCATCATCATCATCACCATCACCGCCAGCATCATCATCAGTATCATCATCAGCATCATCAGCATCATCAGCGTCGACATCATCATCATAAGCAGCAGCATCAGCATCCTCATCATCATCAGCACCATCAGCAGCATCAGCAGCATCATCACCATCACCATCAAAACCAACATCATCATCAGCAGCAGCATCGGCATCACTATCAGCATCATCATCACCACCCGCACCATCATCATGCTCATCGTCATCTTCACCAGCATCATCGTCATCCTCACCACCACCACCACCACCACAACTGTCATCATTACCATCACCATCATCATCCACAACATTCAATCGTTGTCAATGATTAGCATCACCAACATCGTCGTCATTATCGTCGTGATCATCGCCAGCATCATCAATCAAGTAAACAGACAATCAATCGATTGATCAACCAACCTACCAACCAATATCATCATCATCATCATCATCATCATCATCATCATCATCATAATCATCATCAGCATCATCATCATCATCATCATCATCATCATCATCATCGTCGTCATCATTACCAGCATGGTCATCATAATAATCCGCATCATTATTTCATCAACAACAACCCACCAGTGATCATCGAGATCCTAATTATCATCAGTGGCATTATCGTCATCATGACCGCCGTCGCCATCACCATCACCATTACCATCACTATCACCACCACTACCGACACCATCACCATCATTATCATTATCATCACCACCACCACCCGCCCGTCCGTCACCCGTCGCGGCCCGCCCGCATGTCCTGAGACCTGACGTTATTAAAGAATGCGAAACCGCGAACACCCTATCTTTTGGCATCATCTTCGAGGGTCTTTATGCGAGGGTCCCGGGGCCCGAAACCGGGCGAAAACGCCCGTTGCAAAAAAAGCGAGATGCGACGGCGGTCGCGTCCGAAGCACCCCGGCAAACGGCCGCTCCATACTTCGCTCCAGGGGTGGACGGAAGCTGCTGCGCTCCACGCTTCGCTCCAGGAGTGGACCGTGGCAAAAAGCCCGCTGCAAAAAGCCCGGATCTGAGAGGTCGCCCGCCGCCCAGCGCGCTTGATCGACGTCAGATCGCGCCGCTCATCGATCACGCAGCTGCTGCTCAAGAGTAAACAGGACGTCGTCGTCGTCGTCGACCTGGTCGTCCCCCCCTGGAGGCCGCGGCGTCGTCGTCGCCATCGCCCCTCGATCACGCAGCTGCTGCTCAAGACTAAGAGGACGCCGCCGTCGTCGTCGTCGACCTGGTCGTCCCCCCCTGGAGGCCGCGGCGTCGTCGTCGCCATCGCCCGTCGATCACACAGCTGCTGCTCAAGAGTAAGAGGACGTCGTCGTCGTCGTCGTCGACCTGGTCGTCCCCCCCTGGAGGCCGCGGCGTCGTCGTCGCCATCGCCCCTCGATCACGCAGCTGCTGCTCAAGAGTAAACAGGACGCCGTCGTCGTCGTCGTCGTCGACCTGGTCGTCCCCCCCTGGAGGCCGAGGCGTCGTCGTCGCCATCGCCCCTCGATCACGCAGCTGCTGCTCAAGAGAAAGAGGACGTCGTCGTCGTCGTCGTCGTCGTCGTCGACCTGGAAGAGGAGGAGGAGGAGGAGGAGGAGGAGGAGGCGGAGGCGGAGGCGGAGGAGGAGGAGGAGGAGGAGGAGGAGGGGGTCGTCCCCCCCCCCGGAGGCCGCGGCATCCGGCAGGGCGCCCAGCGCCAAGGCGGCGGCCAGCGCCGCCCGCCCCGCCGCGCGGGCCATGGGCGCCGCCCCGCCGCGGGCCGCCCGGGCCCCTAGCGCCCCGGGGGGGGGGCCTCGGGCCGCCGCCGCCAGGGGAGGTCGAGCGTCGAGGGTCGGGGAGGATCGAGGATCGAGGAGGATCGAGGATCGAGGATCGAGGATCGAGGAGGGTCGAGGATCGAGGAGGATCGAGGATCGAAGGGGAGGGTGTAGCATGGAGGGGGAGAGCGAAGGGGGGGCGAGGAGGGCCGAGGCTCGAGGATCGGGGGGGGGGTCCAGGGTCGAAGAGGGGGGAGCACTTAGGATGAAGGACCAAGGATCGAAGAGGGAGGTCGACGGCGGTCGAGGGTCGAGGACGTTGGTTTCGAGGACGGTGGTTGGTTGGTCGAAGGCGGTCGAAGGCGGCCGAAGGGTCGAGGATCGAGGATCGAAGGGTCGTTGGATTCGAGGACGTTGGTTGGCTGGTTTCGAGGACGTTGCTTGGGGCTTCGAGGACGTTGGTTTCCAGGATCGGAGAGGGAGTCCGAAGGCGGTCGAGGGTCAAGGACGTTGGTTGGTTGGTTGGGCGCTGCATCTCGGTGAGTCGGGGATAGACCCCCGCAGGGCAGCAATCGATATGCAGGAGCGGCCAAGAGGGGGATGTCCAAGACGGGGGGTGCAAATCATGACCGGCGGCATGTGCGCGGCCCAGCGGGGGGGACCAGGGACGCAATGAAATAAGGAGAGGCGCCATGAAATCTGGGGAAATATCCTGGCCCACGCCATGATGTCCACCCCCCCCCCTAGTCATCACCCCCCTCTTTTCCGCCCCCGAGATATGTCTCTGACGGTGGAAGAGGGCTGGCCGGAAGAGAGCCGCACCGCCGAAGCGCACGGGCAGCGCCCCTGGAGGAAGGCTCCACGCCCCGCGGCCCTGCCTCTCGGGCGAGGGCACCGCGCACGCGTCGCTCCAGTGTTCTGATGCGGGGGGGGGGGGGCACCACGGGTGGGGCTGGGGCAGCGGCGGGGCTGGCGGGAGAATCGCTCCAAGCGGCCCCTGGAAGAGGGAAGCGCACGATCGCAGGAGCAGCCGGCTGGGCCCGCTCCCCAGCCCCAGCCTGTGATGGCCCTCCCTCTGCGAGCCCCCGAGGAACGGCTGGTCACAGAAACTGCAGAACCATGCAGCGATAGCCCCGATGTGACAAGGAGTCGCCCTCCGTCCCTGCAGTCCTTGCACAGCTTTCTAGCTCTGAACAAAACAAGACAGCTCGAGATGATGCATGCGCTGATACTACATACGCTACAACGTTTGAACTGTGATGTAACTGATGTGCGCGGCGCTGAGGCGACAAGCAAAGTTTGAAGACCACCCCGCTCCATCCGTGGCCACTTGTCATATGAATGTACGCGGCGCCCTTGTGCGAGAGCTACAATTTGAAAAGAGACCGCACTCTATCCGTATGACCGTGCCGCCAAAGCGATAAACACAACTTGGAAACGGCACCCCCTCGATCCGTGCAACGATTGACACTGCATGAGACGGATATGCGCGGCGCGAAGGCTTGAGCCAAATGTCGGAAACCACCACCAGCTCCTCACCCATGTAGCTATTGGAAACGTTTCAGACGAAGGTGCGCGGCGCCAAGAGGTGAGAGCCACCTGTTGGAAGCCAACCCCGTCCATCAGTGTACACAGATGCTCGCAACTTTCAACCGAATGTGACCGGCGCTGAAGCAAGAACCGCATTTTGACACCCCTTCCATCCGTGTCACTGCTGAAAGTGTCAAGCTTCGGGATCATAATCAGGGAAAGGTTCAGCCAAAATGCCTGGCCCACCCTACCGACTCGTCTGGTGGTCAGTCGAGGAATTGTGCACATGTAGAAGGGATGGAGCATCTACGATCGAGGAAGATCGAGAAGAGTCGATAAATCGATACAAGAGAGTCGATGCTAGAGGGATTTGGAGGGGTAAGTTCAATCCTGTTTGCAAGATCGGCCAACATCGAATCGGGAAATCGGGTCGAGCCGGAATGTGCATTGGGTCGGGTTGTATGGGTACGGATTCGAAATCGAGTCGAATCGGCCTCACCAAGACACGCAGCAGCGCCATGCAAACGTCGAGCCCGATGATCGGAAATCGAATGCGATCGAGCCGGCCCGAGTCGACATCGGATCGGAGCGATCGGACCGAAGTGGACCCTGTTTTGAGGGACGAGGATCGGCGCGGACACTGGGGGGAGATAGCATTATGTCGGGCCTGTCCCCCTACAGGGAGATTGTCGACGGAAAATAAAAAATACCCCACAAATACCCCAAGAAGACCAACAAATAGTCAAAAAATAGTCCCCAGACCATTTTTTAACTATCTTGAAACTACTTCTGGGGTATTCTAAATTTTTCGTCGAAAATCCCACTGTAGGGGGACAGGCCCGACTTAAAGATGGCAGTGAATGGGGAGGCAGCGAATCGGCTGCGATTTCAGGGCGCCTCCCCGCGCCGAAGGCGGCCACATGAAGGGGCCCAGGGGGGCACCAGGCAGTCGACACAGATTATCAGGACTCCTGGATGCTCCTCTTCCCCCCCCTTTCACAGCTTCCCGGGCTGTCATTAAAAGATCAGCGCTCGTTTGTGATTGTGCCGATTTTCTCCTCCGGAACACGTCGAGGAACGGGCCAGGCTTAGGTCGCGCGTGCCCCCTTACAGGCCGACTCGGGGCAACAACTTCAAGTCGCCCCGTAGAGGGACAGGCCCCCGTAGAGGGACAGGCCCCCGTAGAGGGACAGGCCCGATTTAACTCTCAAAGATCCCTCCCCGCCGCCACGGCCAGAGCCGCCGCGAGGTCCTGGCCCAGACGCGCCCTGGAGAGACGCCAGGAGCGATCTGCCACCGAGGAGGAGGGGGAGGAGGAGGAGGAGGAGGAGGAGGAGGAGGAGGGGGAGGAGGAGGAGGAGGAAGGGAGAGGAGAGGAGGAGGAGGAGGAGGAGGAGGGGGAGGGGGTCCGAATGGCTCTGAGCGAAGAGGGTCAATGGACCACGGCGACGGCCACGGCGCCTCCCCTCGGGGATGACGACGGCGACGGCGGCGGCGGAGACGGCCACAGCGCCGCTGGTCACGCCCACGGCAACCCTCACATCAGACATCACGGTCAAATTACAATTCGGTGCAGAACAACAACAACAACAACAACAACAACAACAACAACAACAACAACAACAACAACAACAACAACAACAAGAACAAGAACAACAACAACAACAACAACAACAGCAACAACAACAACAACAACAATCATTTTACCCGAACGCTCAGTGTTCTCCCCAGTGCCAGGGTTTTCATGCGACGCCAGCCAATACCCCCACTTCGTGGGGGGGCAATGCAAGCTCTACCAAACATCCACACGACTCTCGGGAACCACCCACACCCAGCTTCCCGCCCTATGACGTCAGGACACTTCACTTCGTGGCGCGCGGACGATCGTGGATACTACACTGGCGTGGAGTACACACCCGCAGAGGTTGATCACTTGTTTGGGCCCCGCATGTGCCCCGCATGGTGCATTTGTTGCGTATGACATACATAGTACAGAGAGACAGAGAGAGAGAGAGAGAGAGAGCAAGACAGAGAGCCAGTGGAGAGAGAGATAGAAAGAGATTCGTCACATGTGTGAGGCAACCTGAGAAGATGTGGTACACGGTACACGTGAGATGGTACGCAGTGCCAAGATAGTTGGTCACATTTTTGAGGCAAATTCCTGGGAAGGCGATTACACAAGTAGATGTGTTACGTATGATAGATATGAAGCAGAGAAAGAGCGAGAGACAGAGAGAAGGAGAGAGAGGAGTCGGTCACATCTTTAGGGCAACTTCCTGAGGGATGTGGGAGGACACAAGAGAGAAGGTATCGTTGTCCCGATGGTTGTCTCGATGGTTGCCCCGATGGTTGTCCTGATGGTTATGGTTGTCCCGATCGTTATCCCGATGCTTGTCCAAATGGTTGTCCCGATGGTTGTCCCGATGGTTGTCCCGATGGCTGTCCCGCTGCGATGCAATGTTGTCTGTTTCTGCTGTTATACAGTCCCAAGGAATCCGCAAGAGCGCGCGGAAGGACATTTTGACAATTTTTTCTGAGAAAACCATTGGGTTTTTGATGTTTTTATGTTAAAATCGCTACGAAACCTAAGGTTTTGGAAGGATTTCGTCTTGCGCGCACGAATGTCCACTTTACCTTATTTTTTGCAAGGGATTCTTGCAATTTGATCAAGTAAAAACAAGAATTTTCATTTTCTATTGTTTTTTGCAAGGGAAAACGAGCGTCAACAAAAAACCGGATCCGGAGCTCATCCACTTTTCTGAAGCTTTCGCGAAAAAATGATGAAAATGTAGCTGCGGTCTAGGCGCGGCGCAGAGGTCGCGCACCAGGGGTCCCAACAATAATAATTCTTTAGAAGGAATAATGTTCAACAACAACAACAACAAACTGTGGAAACAACAACAAAAACAGAGAACATATTACAAATGATATTTTGTCCTCTATTTGGGGGCAAAGACTTGCTTGAGCCCATGACCCCCCTCCTGCTGCCGCAGGCCTCGACGCGCATCGAGATCTGCGCGGGCCGCCAGGGCCCGAAAACCCGGGCGAAGACGCCGGGCGAAAGCACCGCGACGCGGGGCTCTCGAGAGGCACGGCACCCACGGCGGCGGCGACGGCACCGACTGCAGCGACCCACGGCGGCGGCGGCGCCAGCGGCCGCCGACTTTTGCGCCCCGAGGGCCCGAGGGCCCCCCCCTGCGCGGCCAGGGCGACCGGGCGCGGCGTGGCCCGCGCGGGCCGCCGCCGCTCCGGGCGCGCCGCGCGCGGCGTTCGCCGCGGGGGGGGGGGAGCGGCCGGTCGCCGGGGGCGCCAGCGACCACGACGGAGGAGGGAGGGAGGGAGGGAGGGAGAGAGGGAGGGAGAGAGGGAGGAAGAGAGGGAGGGAGGAAGAGAGGGAGGGAAGGAGGGAGGGAGGGGGGGAGGGAGAGAGAGAAGGAGGGAAGGAGGGAGGGAGGGAGGGAGGGAGGGAGACCCTGCGATCCTGGCGC